TCACATCTTATCCACATAATCCTTTGATTGGTCTGAAAAAGTACTGACAATCAATACAAATAAACAAAAGTCTAACAGTTTTAAAGCATATTGCGTTATCATAATTTGTCTTGCCGGGATGTATTTTCAAACATGTGTGGCTTCCAGACAAGTTTGTTTAAATATTCCATGTTTACATTCCCTATCAGTGAAATTCCCTTAGGTGGTATTATGACAACGTATTTAAATAACCCTCTTGACCATGGCGCATTCTTGGTAGTATGGAAATTTGATCCCCTGCTGACTTTATAATTTTGAACAATATAGTTTCTGTTGTAAATTAATCCTAATGCAGAAATACAGAATGTCAAGAAGAACAAAAAAAACCACTACATAAATTTGAAATTGTCATTCTTATCATTGAGTGAAATAAGTATTTGATTCACTACAACCCAGCCACAATTTTGGCTCCTATAGATTGGCTGTGTGCCCGTGTAACACAATTACAGATACTCCTGATCTCACTTAATTATCTGTATGAACCACACCTGTGCACAGAATCAGTTTCTTCCACCAGTATTCCCAAAACCAAAGAGACATCAGTGGACATCACGGATAAGACTGTAGCTCTGCACAAGGATACAAGACCATTAGAAAGATGGTTGGTGGGAAGGTAATAAGTGTTGGTGTGATTATTTGGAAATGAAAGAATTGACCATCAGCCTGGAGTCCAGAGGTCCATGCAAGATCTTGCTTCGTGAGGTGAAGACATTTTTTCAGCACTAGAGAGGTTCCTGGACACAAGTGCAGATGCAGGGATAAAAGTTACCGAAAGAAGAGAAAACAGATCAACAATGATAATGAGTTTCTGTGAAAGAGTATGTCAAGGTTAGCAGGTGAATGGTTTCCAGAGGGCTTTGCTGTCCACTCCCAAAACATAGTTTCCTGGCTCTGCTTAAAAACACTGCTCTCCTCAGTGTCTCTCCAAAACACATTTCCTTTCTTCCAAGGAAAGGGGCAACTGAACCTAGAAACAAAAGGTAGGTCCAAAACCTTTTTTACAGTAGTCACAATAAAGAAGCGTCAAACTTGTATATTGGATGGAGGGCAACAGTTTCTCTGAAACTGTTTTTTTGTTTGTTTGTGTGTCTCTTGTAACTGAAACACAGACTGAGACTGAAACAGTCTCAATTGGACTACCTCTATAAATAAAGGTGAAATTAAAAAAAACTCATAAAATGATGTACAACTTTCATCTTAAATAGGACACCGGTCATAAGCCCCAAAAGCAAGCAGGTGTGTAATCAGCAATGTCTTGCAGGTGTGGAGCAAAATAAACCAGGTGAATTCAGCCCCTAAAAAACACACAAGCAGACCGACACACACAAACACAGATACAGAAGGGAGAAAAAGAGCATGAGAGAAACAGAGAGAAATGGGTGAGTCAAGGAATGAGAGACCATAAAAATAATCACGAGAAAGGTGATGGATCTGTCTAAAACCACATGAGAGGAATGTTAATGATTTGAAGGCAGTTGGGACCACAGTCCCCTACTGTAGAACACAACAGGCAACACATCACACCATAATGGACTGAAATCTTGCAGTGCCTATGGATGGGTCTAATAGCATGACAATGACCCAAAACATGCTATTAAGGCAAAAAAGGAGTGGCTGAAGAAGATGCACATTATTAAGGTCATTGAGTGGCCTAGCCAGTCTCCATATCCCTTTCAAATAGAAAAACTGTGAAAGGAGCTGAAGCTTCGAGTTACCAAATGGCAGCCAACAAACTTATTCAGAGATTTTCTGTAAAGAGGAATGGGTCAGGCTGAGATGTGTGCAAACCTGGTGAACAACTCCAAGAAACGTGCACTATGCTGCCAACAGGACTTTCTCCACCAAGTACTATGTCATCTTTTGTTGTGGGATTAAATACTTATTTCACTCAAGGCTATCAATAACATTTGATTTAACATATTTTTTTTTCCACATTTTTCTTTGCCATTTTATCTTTCTCCATTTAAAAGAAACTACCTTAACATCTAGAGACTGTTCATTTCTTTATAAGTGAGCAAATTTAAAACATTCAGCAGGGGACCAAATAATTATTTCTCCTGCTGTAGCTGTTCCTGTTTGGTTGCTTAGCCCTGCACCAGCCAGAGCTGTAGCTTAGTGTTACGGCCCTAGTCTCTCTCTCTCTCTCTCTCTTGAGGGTGCCTGTGTGGGGGCTCGTCCGGGATCGTTGAAAAGGGAGTTTTGAGTTGGAATTGGTTTTTGATTATCTGGCTGTTTTTTACCTTTGGAGATAACTTCCCAGTTAAGGTAGGTGAGTGCCCAGCTGAGCTTTTTAAGTTCCTCCTTCGGGCACTCTTTTGTTATTTTGCCTTTGTTGTTTTTGGAGTAATCCTGGGTGGGGATTAATTCTCTGTCGGGGGTAGGCAATTCAGGGCTCCAGTCGCTGAAGTTTCGCCTTTCAAGTTGCCTCGAGCCCGGCACGCTCCAGAAGATAGGTAGGTAAAGTTTGTTGTGCTTAGGAACTGGGTAAGTTGTGTTTGTTTAGTGTATACTGCAAGAGGTAAGTTGGTCAGTTAAAGTAAGTTGTGTAGTTTTCCATTAATCGGTTAATTATTGGGTAGTCTGCGTGAGTTGGCAGACGGGTGTGGCAGTGGTCCTAATTAGGTGGTGTGTTTCTAACCCTTCACCATCCCCAAAATGGTTGACACAGCTGCTAGTGTACAGGTGTCTAGAGGCTCGTTTGTGAGCAATAACATTCACCTGGTTCCAGACTTCTGTGAATCCAGTGTTCACAGCTTTTTCAGTGTGTTCGAACGCCTGGCAACTGCACTGCAGTGGCCTCAAGATGTGTGGGGGGTGATGTTGCTGTGTCGGTTGACAGGTAAGGCTCAAGAAGCGTGTTCTGGTCTGTCTAGGCAGGACGGCCTGGTTTATGGAAAGATCAAAAGTGCCGTCCTCCAAGCCTATGAACTGGTACCTGAGGCCTATAGGCAGCATTTTCGAGGGTTGGAGTTGGTGCAGGGACAGTCCTATCTTGACTTCGCCAGGGAGAAGGCGAGGCTCTTTGATAGGTGGTGTGCGGCAAGCCAGGTTAATGATGTGGGGTCCATACGTGAGCTTATGCTGGTGGAGGATTTTAAAAACTCTGTTCCTAAGTCTGTGGCCCTTTATTTAAGTGAACAGAGGGTTACAACTCTACAGCAAGCTGCCACCCTGGCAGATGAGTTTAGGCTGACTCACAAAGCAAGTGCTGTAGGACAGGATATCCCTCTGCACTATAGCGCAGCCTGGACAGGTAAGAGTGGGCCAGCTAAGATGGAAAATGCAGTTATGGTGTTAAGACCTAGGCCCAAACTGTGTTTTTTCTGTCACAAGCCTGGCCATGTGGTTGCCAATTGTGTCAAACTGGCACTCAAACAGAAAGCCCACTCAACACGAAAGGGGCCTGTTTTGAGAACAGTCAGTCGTGGCTCTCAAACTGACAAGCTTGCCAGGCCTACTAAAAGGCTAAACCTGGAGCACAGTTGCTCGGTAGCACCCCGTAATCAGTGTATGAGGCAAACTAACCCTGAGCTGCCGCTGGTTGACCCTTTCTCTGGTTCATGTTCAAAACCACCCTTCAGACCTGCACCCCTTGCTAACAATCATGTTTGTGTTTCAGTGAAGCCTGCTAGCTGCCTGCTGGGTTCTCCACACGATGGTTCGAAGCCCCGGCTATCCCATGGGACACTGTTTTGAGGGTCTGGGGCCACTCTCTGGTAATGTGGTGAACCCACTGAGATGGGATTGGCAGCTCCCGCAGGCCATGCCTAACCGTTGCTATGCGGTTTGGTAGGTGGAAAGCCTGCATTTCGTCCTGACACGGCTATGGACTCACTTTTGGTTACTGTGATTTGACAAACCATGGGTTTGCATTTATGGGAGGGGGTGTTACGGCCCTAGTCTCTCTCTCTCTCTCCTGAGGGTGCCTGTGTGGGCGTGTCCCACTACCTCCCCTGCCTGAGATGCCACCTTTCCCTCCTGTACAGCTGACTCCCATCAGCAATTAAGGGTATTTAAGCCCAGAGCAGGGTGAGCTCTGGGCCAGAGTGCCATTTGTGTGGTTTACAGCTAGTGAGCTGAGTGTTTTTGTGGTGTTTCCAGCTGGTGAGCTGTGTTTTGTGGTTGTCAGCTAGTGAGCTGCGTTTTCCTTTTGACATTTTGCATTACTGACCAATGCCTGAGTTTTGTTTGTGTTACTTTTATGGTGATAGCGGCTTTTCCGTCTCTTTTAGTTGAATTACTTCAATAAAACTGTTTTATTTAACTGTTTCGCTTCCTTGACTCCTTTTTCTGACCCGGTCACTTTTGTTGCTTCCCCCTTAACGCCTAGACCCCCCAGGGGAACGTAACACTTAGACATGAGGAGATGAAACGTGAGAAAGATTGCCAATTTTGTAGAAGTGAAGTGGGTGAATACCTGTCCAATACTAGTTCAGTCTAAGTCACATGCCTGAGGTTATTTTTTCCACTAATGCATGGTGTGTAATTTTTAATATGTGTGGGCTAGCCAGGATGCTAAAATGTTGCATTGCTCTCTTTGTCAACATAAGCTAGCGACAGCAGAATAAAACATATCATTTCTGCTGCCTGTCTGCACTCTACATAGACAGCATTTAAAATACATTTTAAAATGTATTTATAATATATTTTGAAATGTATTTTAGCACATATCTTTTTGTGCAGCACTATGGCTGTCACAGTGTCCTTATCAAGGGCAGTTCTTCGCTCTGTGCCGATGTCCATTTTGCTCTGTCCTCCTATAAAAAAGCATGAACATTTGAGTATCTATTTTTAGATTTCCAAAAATCTGATCTTTGTTTGACTAAACATTTGAACTACAATGATATGCTACTGAGAGATACTTTTATGGGTACTTTTTGGTAAAGAAACTGGTGACAGAGAAGTAAGCTTTTTAAAATACTATTAGCTAACCATTCGAACTGAATTTCAAAGCTGTGTACCTTTTAAATTGCTGTAGATCAAAACCTCCAGTGGGAAGGTGGCCATTAGAAGAACACGCACCATTGAACCTGAAAACAACAAAAACAAACAAACAAAAAACAGAACAATATCCGGTAGGGTAATAAATTTCTTCTCAAGCAGTATACAGGGTGGGCCATTTATATGGATACACCGTAATAAAATGGGAATGGTTGGTGATATTAAAGTCCTGTTTGTGGCACATTAGTATATGTGAGGGGGCAAACTCCTCAAGATGGGTGGTGACCATGGTGGCCATTTAGAAGTCGGCCATCTTGGATACAACTTTTGCTTTTTCAATAGGAAGAGGGCCATGTGACACATCAAACTTATTGGTAATGTCACAAGAAAAACAATGGTGTGCTTGGTTTCAACGTAACTTTATTCTTTCATGCGTTATTTACAAGTTTCTGACCACTTTTAAAATGTGTTCAATGTGCTGCCGATTGTGTTGGATTGTCAATCTCTTCTCCCACTCTTCACACACTGATAGCAACACTGCAGGAGAAATGCCAGCACAGGCATCCAGTATCTGTAGTTTCAGGTGCTGCACATCTCATATCTTCACACCATAGACAATTGCCTTCAGATGACCCCAAAGATAAAAGTCTAAAGGGGTCAGATCAGGAGACCTTGGGGGCCATTCAACTGGCCCACGACGACCAATCCACTTTCCAGGAAACTGTTCATCTAGAAATGCTCAGACCTGGCACCCATAATGTCGTGGTGCACCATCTTGCTGGAAAAACTCAGGGAACGTGCCAGCTTCAGTGCATAAAGAGGGAAACACATCATCATGTAGCAATTTCAAATATCCATTGGCCTTGAGGTTTCCATTGATGAAGAATGGACCCACTATCATTGTACCCCACATACCACACCAAACCATCACTTTTGTTGTTCCAACAGTCTTGGAGGGATCCATCCAATTTGGGTTAGTGTCAGACCAATAGCGGTGGTTTTGTTTGTTAACTTCACCATTCACATAAAGGTTTGCCTCATCACTGAACAAAGTATTTTGCGTGCATGTTGTTGGTCTGAAAGGTATGGTTTTAACTTGGTTTAAATCCTGCCTCTCAGAGAGATCGTTCTCTGTTGCTATTGGGAAACACTCCTCGGCTTCTGCCCCTATTTACTGTGGTGTGCCTCAAGGGTCCGTGCTTGGTCCTGCTCTTTTCTCTTTGTACATGTTGCTGTTGGGATTAATTTTTAGAAAATACAACATCTCCTTTCACTGTTATGCCGATGATATCCAGATTTATTCACCTGTGAAATCCGATGTGTCTGCTTCTTTGCAACCTCTGTTCAACTGTTTGCATGAAGTTAAAATTTGGTTATCGCATAATTTTCTTACATTGAACGAGAATAAGACCGAAATCATAGTCCTTGGTAGTCACACTCCGCTAGACCAGTTAGCTGATGCCCTAGGCCCTCTCGATAGCCATCTCTCGCTGACTGTAAGGAACCTTGGAGTGTTCCTGGATGGCTCTTTTAAACTTGAGAAACAGGTCTCCACTGTGGTAAAAAAAAAAAACAGCTTTTACCAGTTGCGTCACATATCTAAAGCAAAGCCATTCCTTCCTTTAAAGGACCTTAAAGCTTGGACTACTGTAACTCCCTCTACTCGGGCCTTATTGTGTTGTTACCTATTGTTTGTTGTCCTGTTTTATTGTTTGTTTTAATTGTCTCATGTTTTACTGACTGTGAAGCACTATGGTCAACACTGTTGTTTTACAGTTTTTTACAGTCGCTAACAAGCGCCTACCCATACTTCAGATACTTTTTCTAAACTCTTAACACAGACCCACACCTACAAAACACAATTGGCCAAATGGATAATATCCTTCCCAAAAATACACTTTGTTAAATATATACTAACTCCTCATTTCAAAATTAGAACACATCTTTCTCTGCACACACTAACTGTACAAAAACACTATAAATCTGACTCAAAATGAAATTAGTCTGTCAAAGAATAACACTTGTTTTCACTTCACAAGGTACATGCAGTCAATCAAAGTACACCAGGTTTCAAAATACTGGCTATTATTGACATTACAAAAACTGCATAGACTTTTATGTTTCAGTTTCACAGGTATTTGCATGCGAAACATGCAATCCACCATATTGACACCAGAAATGTCTTGGTTGGTAACTGTATGTCCACATGTACAGTAATGTTCACATTCAAAAGCATTCCAGTAAAAAGCAAACAAGTTTTTGTTTCTTTACTGTTTACCACAGGAGGTACAGTAGAAACACGGTATGATAGGACAGAGAAAGTTTTACAGTATTGCTTACAGTGAACAAAATATCCATGAAACACACAAGAGCATTCTGAACAAAAAAACAACAGCAAAAAGCCAAGATAAAAAGGGGGGGAGAGGGGCTAAAAAAAGGCAAAAAAGTTGCATCTAATCTCTGCGATCTTCAGGGTTAGGCCACATGTTTTCATCAACATCACATCTGATGTCAGCCAAGTCGATGCACCTGGGATAAAACCGCCTGGTATGTCGGATCCACCCTTGGCAATCGTCAACTGTGATGTCCCTGGAGCCAGCATCCATGGCTTCAAGGAGGGACATCTGGTCATGTGGCTGATGGTCATAAACCTTCCACCGCCATGCAGAAAAGAACTCCTCTATGGGGTTGAGGAAAGGTGAATAGGGTGGAAGGAAGAGACTCACCAGTCTTGGGTGGACTTCAAACCATGTTGTTATTGCTTGCGAGTGATGGAAAGCCACATTGTCCCAGGTAATTACAAAGGTCCTCATGTTTTCACCCTCCTGACCCTGCTCTGGAACCAGGCGCTGGTGGAGATCATTGAGAAAGGCAAGCAAGCGCTCTGTATTATAGGGTCCAACCTGACATTTGTGAAGGAGTAATCCTGCATTTGCAATTGCTGCACACATGGTAATGTTTGCCCCTCTCTGTCCTGGCACATCAACTGTGGCCCTTTTTCCAATTACATTCCGTCCACGTCGACGCCTTTTGGCCAGATTGAATCCTGCCTCATCGATGTATATGAATTCATGAGGGGCCTGGTTGGCCTCCAATTCCATAACTCTCTGAAACAAAGTTTATGTAAGTCATGTTAGTACTGTATACCATACTGTACTGTAACCTAGTATTGTGTAGGTTACCTACTTGCAAAGTGCAAAGCTTATAGAACTGGACATTGGATTGAATATACACTGTACCTGGACATATTGTCGTCGTAGCTCCTTGACCCTCTCACTGTTCCTCTCAAAGGGAACAGTGTAGAGCTGCTTCATCCGCACTCTATGTTTGGACAATGTCCGCGAAATGGTTGTGAGGCTGATTCTATCGATATTGTCGAATATCTCATGGTCCGCCACAATTCTGGTTTGTATTTCACGCAGTTTTATTGCATTACTTGCAGTAACCATTTCCACAATGGCAAGCTCCTGATCATTACTGAGGAGCTTTCCTCTTCCCCCAGAGGGTGGAAGACGTTGCATTCTTTAGAAAGACAGACAATTCAACATATGCATTACTGTATGACCATATTGACATGTCAAGTGAGAATAGGAACAATCCATGTAAAATGCAATACTTACCTGTTGGTTTGTTGAAAGGTGCGTATAATGGAGGCAACCGTTGACCGCCTCAAATTGGGCTGCACTCTTTCACCAGCCTCTCTTAGTGAAAGACCATGGTTGATTACATGGTCAATGATAGTGGCACGGATTTCATCACTGACTACTGTTCTTGCAGCCCTTGGAATGCCACCACCACGCATTCTTACACCTATACCTTGCCCTCTCCTTGGGCCTACTCTTCTCTCTGGGCCCCTTGCTCTTACTCCTCCTCGACCAGACATTACAGTGTTTGTCTTTTTTTTGTTTCCAAAAACATCACTCCTCAAGGTCTTGCCTTATGAACCCCACTGAGTCTAAGCCAGAATGGAAGAAGGTGTGGTTGGCCCAATTTACCCAACATAAATCAGCTGTGTGTCAATTATTCAATTGTTTGTTTGTTTACAGCTGAGATATATTTTTGATATTGATATTGTTTTTGTACTGATATCATTGCAGGGGCAGAGGTTTTTATACTGTATCTACGGTTTGGAATATTGTTTTTGCTATTGTGGGATGTTGTGTGTTAACATTCGTAGATACTACAAGAACAGTCCATAGTTTTGTTGGGAGGTATAACTTGTCTGTTAAGAAAATGTAAGCATTGTGGAAATGTGTTCACTGACTGCATATTGGGTGAACACGACATGAAATGTGTGAATGGTATGGCCACAACAGACCGATCCTGTGCTAATTGTGTTTAGAGTTTTGCAAATGTGACAACTGTTTGGACAAACGCTTGTTAGCGACTGTAAAAAACTGTAATATGTGCTATATAAATAAATTTTGATTTGATTTGATTTTGTTTTGCCCATTCTGCAAATTCTGTGCATTCATCCTTGTTGAGATGCTGCAGTAGCTGGAGTTTGTAAGGGTGCGATTTGTGAGTAGCTAATATCCGCCGATGGGATGTTCGACTGATGCCATTCTCCCGTGACATGCGGCGAGTGCTATGCTGTGGGCTCTTGCTGAATGAAGCTAGGACAGTCACTGATGTTTCTTCATTAGTGACAGTTTTCTTGCGTTCACATTTTGGCAAATCCAACACTGAACAAGTTTTACAAAACTTAGCAAGCAGTTTGCTAACTGTAGCATGGGAGATGGGTGGTCTCGTAGGGTGTCTTTCATTAAAATCTGCTGCAATCACCGGGTTACTGCGTTCACCAGATATCAACATAATTTCGATCCGCTCCTCAAGTGTTAACCTCTTCGACATGTCAATGGCAGTGAACAAAGAGAAACTTGTAAATAACGCATGAAAGAATAAAGTTACGTTGAAACCAAGCACACCATTGTTTTTCTTGTGACCTTACCAATAAGTTTGATGTGTCACATGGCCCTCTTCCTATTGAAAAAGCAAAAGTTGTATCCAAGATGGCCGACTTCTAAATGGCCACCATGGTCACCACCCATCTTGAGGAGTTTGCCCCCTCACATATACTAATGTGCCACAAAAAGGACTTTAATATCACCAACCATTCCCATTTTATTACAGTGTATGCATATAAATGGCCCATCCTGTAGTTTATTTTGGGTGAAAAACAAAAAATTCCTCTAAAATATACTGTATATACTGACATCAGCAATCAACACCATGATTGTAATTATTTTCCTCCCTAGTTCCATCTACTGCTCTGTGCACGTGTCAAGCACTACGACTGTATCTATGCATATAAATCCACCATATATATCCTGCAAAAATGTCTTGTTATGGTCAAAAAAGGCCAACAAACAAAGGCATTCAATCAGAGGTGAGAAATTAATCGGGAATATCAATTATAGGTGACCTATTCTTTATCTACTAGCAATCAAGCTTATTTAACTAAGAAGTTTGAGATATTTGAATGTAAAATAAAATAAATAAATAAATAAACAATAATAAAAATAATATGATGTAATAAAAATGCACAACTTACATTAAGGACATCTTAATTTTAATCCACAGGCTAAAATTAAAACAGTAAATGTGTTTGTATAGGTATTTGTAAAAAAAAACAAAAAAAAAAAACAAAAAAAAAAACGCATTAACTGTGACTCTTCTAGTGGGATGCTAAATGCAGAGATTTAAATTTACAGTATAGTACTTTGCATGTGCAGGTAGCTGTGGTGTGAATTGTAACTGAATATCAGATGAATGTCAGAGAAATGAAATGTATTTATTTTTAATGTATTTATTTTTTGTATTTATCAATCATAAAAACGTCTGTTTTATAGGCCTGTTACGATAACAACTTTTTGTTGGTCGGTGTTATGGCCCTGTCCATAATCTGTTTTGGTGGCTGTTGTTGTCTGTGCCTTTAAGTCTTTGCAGGTCCCGGAGTGGATGAGCTGACGGCTGCTGATTGGTCCCCTGGCCATGTGATCTTCTTCAAATCCCTCACCAGCAGTTGTCCCGGGGCAGCCACTGACAGCAGCAGCAGACCTGACCCTGGCCTCCAAAACTTGAGACTTTTGTGCTTGTGATTTGTGCGGCTTCTCTGAGTTTTGTATATAGTGTGTATATTAGCTTTCATTGTACATAGCACATTGTAAATAGCACTGCAACAGAAGGGGTGAGCTGCCGTATTGTTTTTCCTTGCACTGTTTTCTCCTGTTTATTTCAGTTAGGGAGTTAGGTGTAGCGCTTGTCTTTTGTTTGATGTTTGATTTCACATAGGGTTTTAGATAGCACCTCCTCCTGACTTAGCTTGTTTTGTTTGTTATTTTGGCCTTTGTTCACCCTGGAGCTTCATTTTTGCAGTGTAGATAATAAAACACGATTCACTAAGGAATTGGTTTCCCTCTGTGTATGGTTTTGGGGACCAGGGCGGGGCAGTCTTTTCAAACTTATTTTGCGTTCCTGTACCCCTAGACTGGGGCGTAACATAAAGTGGGGGCTCGTCCTTTTTTTTTTCTTTTGCCATTCTTTTTGCTCATTGTATTTTGTGGGTTGTCTGCAGTTTTTGGTTGGCAGTTTTCTTGTGGTGTTGGGGGTGGTCTAGTCACAATGACTTTTGATGTGGATGATTTTGCACTACAACCCACCGTGGATAAGTTGGATCGATGCACAAAGGCGGTTTTGTTGTTTGTGGCAGATTTGTTTAATGTTAGTGTGCCTTTACATGCTAAAAAGGCAGAAATTAAGCAGTGCCTGACAGCTCAGCTGGTAGATATGGGGGTATTTGCGAAGTAGAAACCTCGGCCGGTTGAGGCGACTGGAGGTTTGGTGGTGGATGCGGGAGCAAAAGCTGCTGCAACCATCCCACAAGCTGCCAGTGGACGGGTGTCGCCAGGGGCGGAGGCTCCTGCTGCCATTCAGATCCCAAACGTTAGCCCAGCCGGACAATCAGCAGGATTGGTTACGGAGGATCTTGGGCTCGCCCTTCGCCTGAAAGAGGTGGAGCTTGCGACTAAGTCCAAAGAAGTTGAGCTTATGCATCTCCGCATAAGGGCTATGGAGCTGGATCCTTCCCGACAGCGCAATGTTACCTCTACCCCAGTGAGTAAAATTGTGAATAAATCTTCTGATTCGTTCTCCTCTGACCAATTTGATGCAAGCAGGCAAATTGCTTTAGTGCCACCTTTCAGAGAAAGTGAAGTTGACTCTTACTTTAATGCCTTTGAACGCATCGCAACCACTTTGAAATGGCCCAAGGATGTGTGGAGTTTGTTGCTGCAGTGTAAATTGGTGGGGAAAGCACAGGAAGTGTGTGCGAGCTTGTCTATTGATGACAGCCTGGATTATGAAATTGTGAAATCCACTATTTTAAGGGCTTATGAGCTAGTTCCAGAGGCATATCGCCAGAGGTTTCGGTCGTGTGAAAAATCTGCCAACCAAACACATGTAGAGTTTGCCAGGGAGAAGACTCTCTTGTTTGATAAGTGGTTAGCCGCAAGTAAAGTGAAGGACTTTGCTCAGCTAAGAGAATTGGTCCTGCTGGAGGAATTCAAAACGTGTCTTCCAGAAAATGTTGTTGTATATATCAATGAGCAAAAGGTGGATTCGTTGTCTAAAGCTGCTGTTCTCGCAGATGAGTTTGTGTTGACCCATCGCGTTACGTTTTCAGCTGTGCGCCATGAATGTGCCCCGTTGTCTAAACCTGCAAGGAGTTTGAGGGTTTCTCCCAAGCGTCAAACGCGCCCTGATCAGGTCCCCATGACTGTCCGAGAATGCTTTTATTGCCATGATACTGGCCATCTCATTGCCAATTGTCCGTCGCTCCGTCGCAAAGAGCAATCTCACACATGGAAAAAGCCAAAAAGCATTGGTTTTGTTCAGTCGGTTTCTACTCCTAATCCCGTCAGTGATGAACCAGGAAATGACAGTCTTGACAGCGGTTACCGACCTTTCATTTCACAAGGGTTCGCCTCACTGACTGGAATAGAGGAGGATCGCGTGCCAATTGTAATTTTGCGCGACACTGGGGCTGCCCAGTCTCTCATTTTGGAAAGCGCGTTGCCTTTTTCAAGTAACTCGTTTTGTGGTGCTGATGCTCTCGTGTGGGGAGTGAAAATGAGTGTGTTACGAGCTCCGCTGCACAGAGTCTTCCTACAGTCGCCTCTCGTTTCAGGCCCAGTAACAGTTGGGGTGCGCGCTCGCTTGCCCGTGCAGGGGATTCTGGGAAATGATCTAGCCAATGGGAAAGTTTTCCCGATCCCTGAAGTAATTGAAAACCCCGTCGATGATTTTGATTTTGTTTCTGAGCCTGCTGCTGACAGTCTGCCCTCTGTGTTTCCTGCCTGTGTTGTCACAC